GCCAATTTGGCCACTTATCTGTTCACTTACTCATCCAGGGCCTCCTAAGTACTGGGCATTTCACAGAGTCCCTACATATAAAAGGGGCGGGGAGGCCAATACTCCCAGTGAGGTCATCCCAGTCCCTGAGCCGGCAGAGTTCTTGGCAATCTTCTGCTTCTCCTGGCTTGGCTTCCCTCAGCCCCAAGATGTGCTTTTGGCCTGGAACTTTTAAACTTCTTCCCTGGCTCTGAGTCAGAGGGCCTGCGGGGAGCGCTTCCCCCAGTCGTGTGCCAGTGTGCCTCCGTTGGCCCACCGCTTTGATGTTGAGGACACGTGATTGTCTCTGATGGGAGTGAGTGATGGATGAGCTGGAGATTTGGGTAAAGTGAGGCCAAATCCCTGTGTGGCTCCAGGAACAAGGATAAATATAGCCCGAGTAATTGCTCATGCTCTTTTAAGGATTAAAAGTCAGCTTTCAGGCAAGCTGTGAAGCTCCATGACCAGGACAGCAAAGGACACAGTGCCTTTTTTAGAGTGTGGTCAACACTCCTTGTATACTGCTGGGTCCCAGGCCTCCAAATACTGTTACTGTTTAAGTAAGGGGTCACCTTCTCTGGTCTACACCACATGCGGGCAGGGATGGCTCTGAAGTGTCCCTACCACATCCCATCAGCCAACTGTAGTCTGGCACACCCAAAAAAACATTTTAACTGAATGTGTGAGCTGTGAGAAGGCTGTATTTTTAAAATGACTTTTAGAATTAAAGTACTTTTAAGTAGTACTTAATTAAGTACTATTAAAGAATTAAAGTATACACTACTATGCATAAAATAGATCATTGATGAGAACCCATCGTACAACACAGGGAACTGTACTCAATGCTCTCTGGTGACCTAAATGGGAAGAAAATCCAAAAAAGGGGGATATATGTGGTGGCTCAGATGGTAGGGCATCTGCCTGAAACGCAGGAGACCTGGGTTTGATCCCTGGGTTGGGAAGATCCCCTGGAGAAGGGAATGACTACTCACTCCAGTATTCTTGCCTGGAGAAGTCTGTGGACAGAGGAGTCTGGCTGGCTACAGTCCATGGGGGTGCAAAGAGTCGGACACGACTGAGTGACGAACATTCTATGTGTGTCTATAGCTGATTCACCGTGCTGTACCGCAGAAACTGACACGGCAGCATAAAGCAACTATACTCCAATCAAAAAAAAGAATAAAATCTGTGATCTAGCTAACAATAAGGTACCAATGCCCACTTTCTGGCTTTCCTATAGTCATATATGCTATTACCGCTGGGGGAAGTGTACATGAGACTCTTTGTACTATTCTTGAACTTCCCCTGCATTTCTGCAATTATTCAAAAATAAAAAGTAAAAAACCCAAAATAACCTTTAGTCAGGCTCACGCCAATACTCTGACGCTTGGGGGAGGTAGTGCTGGAAGATGAATTAACTAAATCCCTGTTTCTAGCAACGCTTCTGTTTCATTACTATTTTTGAATGTAAACATGTGACTAATTCACATGATTCAAACTTTAAATGTATAAATAAAATATACAGTGTATACTCTTTGCCCCAACCAGTTAGATTTCCTCCCCATAGGCTACTACATGCTAAGTCACTTCAGCTGTGTCCGACTCTTGGAAACCCTATGGTTTGTAGCCCATCAGGCTCCTCTGTCCATGGAATTCTCCAAGCAAGAATACTATAGTGGGTTGCCATGCCCTCCTCCGGGGATCTTTCTGACCAGGGACTGAACCTGTGTCTCTTATGTCTCTTGCATTGGCAGATGGTTTCTTTACCACTAGCACCGTCTGGCAATTAATGTTATTTGTTTCTTGTGTTAATTTTAGAGAGATTGTGTGTACACACACGTATGTACTTGTGAGTATGTATGTGTGAATGTACGCATATTTGTGTGTGTGTTTATATATCTATACTGTTCTGTTATCTTACTTTTCCCATTTACCTGTGAGATCTTGGACTTTTCTTGTCACTACATAAAGGGCTTTCTCGTCCTTTGCTGTGGCTATACCCATCATTTTTTATGGCTGCCAGTTGGTGGACACTTACATTGTTTCCAATCCTTCTGCTTTTACAAACAAAGCGGCAGTGAATAATCGTGTTTATTTGTCATTTCCCCAAGTGTGGGAATATGTTTGCAAAATAAATTCTTAGGTGTGAAATTGGATCAAAGGATACAAGCCTTGTGATTTTGATCATGCTAAATTGTCTTCTATAGAGCGTGCTCGTTTCACACGTCCATCAGTGACGCACTTTATGAAATGCTTGTGTTAATGTAGTGATTTTGTTATTTGGTGACCCCTTTGTGAGTCTGGTGAAAGCTATAGACCTGTACCCAAGAAAAACAGAAATCAGACAGTATTTTGCACACAATTTCAGTTGGCTCAGAGACTCCTGAAGGCTATCCATAAACCCTAATTTAAGAAATTAGGCAGAAGAAAAGGAAGTATGGTACAGGTGAAGACTTTTAGGGCCAAACCACCTAAGTTCACTCCTTCACTTTACCGCTTACTGGCTATGGAACATCAGACAAGTCTTTTTGCCTCTTCAAGTCTTAGTTTCCTTTTCAAAAGAATGGTATAATAGCTCCATTTCATGGGGCACATAGGAAGGTACATGCTTTTATGCAGGGTGTCTAATATAGTGATTGGAATATAGTAGGTGTTCGATATAAGGTTTGCATAACACATACAGACACATAGACACAGAGACATACACTCACACCTCCTTCCTCACATGCACACAAACCCAAGTTTCTAGTTGTCTTTGCAATAATTGCTGCTGGATTCATAAAATCAACTTTTGGAGTACCATTCCCTAAAATGGGGTTATTGGACCAACTGCATAAGTAAGAATCACCCGACGGCCTTAATTAAAATTTAGGTTTCTGGACCTCACTTTAGATCCACAAGATTAGAATTTCTAGAAAAGAGGTCCAGAGAGTTTCACACTTGATGGTTCTATTGCACAATGAAGTTGGAGAAACAGCGCTAAAGAGTTTGGTAATTCATTCTAGTCCCTATCCCTGCAGTTCTAGTAGCTATCACCTTGTGGTTTTGCCAGTGGGAGCCTGTTCCCAGTAGATGGATAGGTGTAGATGCCTGAGAGAAAGCATGGCTAGTACCCAGGAGTCTCCTCTGGTTCCATCTGCAAAAATACAGTTATTTATGGGTTTGACAGACAGCATGTACTATGGTCTCATCAGGAGTCTCTTTTGTAACAAGCAAGGAGAAGAGACAGTCCAGGACTGGATGTCTATGGAAGGGGCTGGGGTAGAAGCCCAGGGGGCCAGGTTTGGGGGAGAAAGCCTGCCACAGCCAGGAACTGAGGATAAAGACTGTATCCAATCAGACACCTGTCACCAGGAGGGCTTCAGGCCACACGTCTTGAGGCACCAACACCTGGAGCTCTCAGCATGACTGGCGAGCACTTTCTGAGGTGGTAAGTGATGGCCCACAATTAGAGTTGTCAGATTTAGCAAATAAAAGTACAGGATGAGCCATTAAATTTCATTAAATTAGAAATTCAGATTTTATATATATATATATATATATACATACACATATATATGGGGCTTCCCTGGTAGGTCAGCTGGTAAAGAATTTGCCTGCAATGCAGGAGATGCCAGTTTGATTCCTGAGTTGGGAAAATCCCCTGGAGAAGGAATAGGTTACCCACTCCAGTATTCTTCGGCTTCCCTGGTGGGTTAGATGGTAAAGAATCCACCTGCAATGAGGCAGACCTGGGTTTGATCCCTGTGTTGGGCAGATGCCCTGGTAGAGGGCATGGCAACCCACTCCAGTATTTTTGCCTGGAGAATCCACATGGACAGAGGAGCCTTGTGTGTTACAGTTAATGGGGTCGCAAAGAGTCAGACACTACTGAGCAATTAAGCCCACAGCATAGTGTGTGTGTGTGTGTGTGTGTGTGTGTGTGTGTGTGTAAGCATGTCCTGTGCAATATTTGGGACATATTTATACTAAATTCAAGTCTAAGTAGGTGTCCTGCATTCTATCTGGCAGTCCTGCTCAGGGTTTCTCTGAGCTGCCTCAAACTGCAAAAAAGGGCAGGAGCCCCCATGTGACTGGCCAGGTCCCACAGTACCATGATCTTTCTCTGGGTGGGGGGCTGCACCCAAGGTGGTGAGGAGTGAATAAGGGCAAGGTGTGGACTTTGGGAGAGAGCAGCTCTCCCTCACCTGTGTGTGAGCAGGGGCAGGAAACTCACTGGTGTTGATCAGCAAGTCTGAGATGCTAGCACTGTGCTAAGCCTTTCAGTATCATCTCATCAAATCCTCCTACAACCTTAGGAGTTAGACATTGTGATCCCAGTGATCCCCACTTTAGAGATGAGGAGACTGAGGCTCCACAAGGTTAAGACCACAGGGCTACTCAGTGGAGGAGCAAGGACTGAAGCCCTGGGGCTGGTGCCAGGTCTGGGATTAGCTGAATCTTCCAGGCCCTTCTCTCTGCTAATCCCAAGGGCTTAAGGTGGGAGCAGCCCCCACCTCCCAATCCCTGGGACAGGAAATGTTCCCAGTCTCGCTGGCGCTGGGCCAGGGTCTTGTCCATGCTCGCTGGAGACTCCAGGCTGGGAGGCAGATCGGCCGAGTTGTCTTGGTCCCTGCCTGGCCGGGACATGCCCAGCAGCATGAGCTGCCCGTCGGCACTGCCCTCCGCTGTGTGGGTGCCCATGGGAGGGGCCCAGGGCCAGCCACTGCCTCTCAGACCCAGCCTGCACTGAGCCTCGGATGGCCTGGCCAGCTTCCCGGCCGTTTGCCCCCTGAGTTGGACCAGAGGGGTCCCCGAGGAGCTCTGCGCTCTAAGTCCCAGCCCCTCTCCGAGGAGGCGGGCAGCGGAGCTCGGCAGCCAGAGGCTTCTCAGCTCCAAGCTCCAGAGCCAGATGTAACATTGACCTTAAATGGTAAAAGCTCCCCAGAGTGAAGAGAGGCTGGCCGGAGGAGGAAAGGGGAATAACTCAGTTTTAGGTAAGTCGTTGCTGTCTCCAAGAATAACCTGCCTCTTCAGCCGGGAGCAAGGGAACTCTTCTCCTCCTTAAAGGTACAGGGTGTGCTGGGATGGGGGCGCCTGACTTTAACTTTCTAGGGGAGCTGGCTTGGTCGAATGGCATTTCAGCCGAGTATTTTTATTGTTGCTGTCATCATTTTAAAATAAGATGTGAATCTTAGCCCGTCCTAACTTAACTAAATTGTGCTTCTTTTGCTTGCTGTTGGAAAGCATGCACAGGTTAGGGCGAAAACGTGGGTTCTGACTGAGGATCCTCATCCCCAGATTTCCTGTGGACCACTTTGGAGTAATAGAGGGTCCCCAGATTACGTAAGCCCACTGGGCAGGGCTCCTCACGCACCGTCTGCTGCCCCAGCCCCGCTCTCTGAGCACTTGTGTCTCTCTCTGCCACCGCCCCCCGCCCCCGACACTCTCGTCTCCTGGCACTCTGGCCCTTGTGCTGGCCCAGTCCTGTCTGTCTGCCTCCTTGACCTGCCCCTGTGTCTGTCCCCGCACTTTCTAGCCTGTGTTCTGGTGGCAGCCCCTGTTTTTACCCCGTCCCCATCTCTCCTGCCTCCAGCCTTGCCACCGGTGACCTTTCTCTGCACCCTCGAGGGGTTGTGTGTGCCTGGGCTGTGCGCTGAGCCTGCACACCTCCAGAAGCTCGGAGTCAGAGCTATTGCTGGAGTGGGAGGCACTCAGGCTGCCTTTCTCCAAAGGAAAGGCCGGTGGAAGTCAGAGGCCAGAGAGGGGCCCAGTAGTCTGTTCCCTCCTGTCCAGTAAATGGCTATAAAAGCCTGGAGATGCCCTGCAGAGTAAACGCAGTGTGGGATTGTCAGGGACCCCTGGCCAGTGCTCGCATCTCCCAGAGTTCAGCCACAGCTGCCCTCTTAACACCCACTTTTCAGGCTGCTCTTTGAAAGTCTCGGTGTCGGGGGAGTCAAGCAGCCCATGGATCTCCTGCAGGAAAAAGGAAGTTGCTTCCCAGGCTGTTAGGCTGGGAGCCCTAGGGAGTCGGAGCCTCCCGGGGTTCTGTTGTCCCCGCCAGGCGGCAGTGACGTGCGGGTGAGACAGGTGGCGTGAACTCCCCTCAACTTCACCCCAAGGCTTTTATGGGGAGGAAACTCAAATTAAGTGGCTTGTCTAGGGTCAGACCACTAAGGAAGAGCAGAGCTAAGAGAGCTAGGAGTCAGAGCCAAGTCTGTACGAGTCCAGCTGCAATGCTCCTGCCCCTCAACACAACTGGGAATAAGAGGGTACACTTCTGCCTTGGGTAGTGTCTTGGGCTTTTTGTCCCTAATGGATATCACAATTGTCACTGTCATTTTGTTTTGTTCATGATTCAGTGGTGTTTGTGTGTGGGTGCGCAAGTCTATAGGTTGTTTTGAAAGTGGCTATTTGTATTCACAGCTGATGTACCTTCCTCTGTGCTTGGTAGTAAGCAGGGTGTTCTTGCATACCATGTAAGATTGGGAGGTGTGATTCTGTACAAATTGCTACACCATGATCAATGATCCCCATAAACACGTTTTCTAGAAGAAAAAAAAAGCAAACATGCCATTCTTACTATGCACTGCTCTAAGCACTTGCTGTGTAGTAATTTAAACTTCTAAAACCCTACAAATCACAGATTATTATTATCCTCATCATGTAGATGGGACATTTTAGCACAGAGAGGAAACACAGCTGACGACCCCAGGCAGCCCATCTCCACAGGCTCTGCTCTAACCAGCATGCCCTGTTCATCTCTGGCTGGTGCCGTTTCTGAGCGGGTCGTGGGGAAGCACTGACTCCCCTCCAACGCTGAGTGGCAGGCTTTCCATACATGATTTCGTGCGCTCTTGCCAGCAACGCTAAAGGGGATGTGTCTTCACCTCAGCTTCACAGGAGGACACTAGGACCAGGGGATGTTACATGACTTGTCCAGGGTCATCCAGCCATCAAGGGACAAGCAGGAGACTTCGTGTCCTGGATGAAGATAGTTAAGGCCATGGGATGTCTTCTACTTGAAACTACCTCTCAGGTGGACCAGTGGGCTCATAATTTCAGGACAAGGGGTTGGTTCTGTGAGTCTCTGTGTGAGGAAGCCAGATTCCTTGCCTGGTGGACTGAACCTCATATATGGATTCTCAGCTTCCCAAACAATCCTTGCCTCTGTCCTCCTAGTAATAAAGGTGGATGGATGTGCCCACACCTTCAGCAGGAGTGGATACTGAGCTCTCTTAGGGCAGAGACCCCGTCTCATTCTGTAGAGTGTGTCCTACACTCAGAATAATGCCAAGAGTATATCAATACAAAGTTCTCAGGAGCGACTTTTTTTCTTATGAAGAAATGGACATAATGCCTATAATGTGGTTTCTGGGTTTATTATGTATGTGTACCTGATGATCAGATTCTTCTGGTGTATCTTGAGAGAATGCAAGGTTGGTGGGGGGGTGTCTCAAGTCATCCACCCCCTCCTTACCCTGCCACCTCTCCTGGGTAGCCACATGTAGCTTCTAGAATGCCTCTCAGCCGCCCTCTCTGTGGCTTGGTGGTCAGCAGAGGGACTGTTTGATGACTGAGGAGGAGCAGAGGCCCAGATGGGTGGGGAGGAGAGATCTAGGAGCCTCCAGACTCTGCCCTTTGAGCTCCTGGAGGCAGGGGGACAGAGAGAGAGAACTGAGTTCTCTTGTAGCAAATGTAAAAGGAAGGAGGAGAGAAAATGGATACGAATTGACTTTGTGCCAGGGTGTGTGCTGGAACTGTTATTTAATTTAATCCTGTGGTAGAGATAAGAATGTTGTGGTTGAGAGAGGTGAAGCACCATGCCCAAGGGAACACAGTTGGTGAGTGCTGAGTGAGGACTCCAGCTCAGGCCAGTTTGGTCCAAAGTGGGCACTTGCGGTGCTAGATGCCATCCTGCCTCTAGTTAGTAACCAGGATCTCAGGCAGTTAGAGTGTCACAGTCCAGGTGATGGGAAGGTCAAGGGGATTCCTTTTGCCCCGTGAGCCTTGGAGGCCAGACCCTGCTGAGTCCAGGTGACAGCCCAGGGCAGCCTCACTGGATGAGGTGCAGAGGCAACATGAGTCCATGACCTTGGGCATGCCCTGACTTCTCTGTGAGGGCCTTCCCCACGGAAGAAGGCAAACAGGTGACAGTCAGCCAGCTGGACAGAAAACCTCTTCTGCCTCTCGGCTATTAAGCCACAGATGTGAAAAAAGGGTTAGCGAAGGCTGGGGCTTCATCTGCTCTGGTTACTTTCTTCCCATCTCAGGACTTTTTAAATTTATCATTCTTATTCAGATTTTTTTTTTCCTAGTAATAAAAGTAATGTGTATTCTTTGCTAAACTTTCTTGGAAAGTATAAGTAAGAAATTCAGAAACAAATATAAATAAATGAATGATCCCTGTGGAATCATATCATTCAGAGATAAATACTGGGTTTTTGTTTTTTTCTGGGCTGCACAGCATGGGGGATCTTAGTTCTCTGACCAGGGATCAAACTTGTGCCCCCTGCATTGGAAGAGTGGAGTTTTAAGCACTGGACCATCAGGGAAGTCCCATAAATATTGTTAATATGGTGTGTCTCTTCCTTTACACTTTTGTATATTTTATAAAACTAGGGTCTTACCATACGTGGTTTTACAGTCTGCTTAAAAACAAAATTTTTTTAAAGGAATTCCCTGGTGGTCCAGTGTTTAGGACTCAGTGCTTTCACTGCGGTGGCCCAGGTTCAGTCTCTTGTCGGGGAACTAAGATCCTGCAAACCACATGGCACAGCCAAAGAAAAAAAATTTTTTTTTAAAGACTATTTTTTTAAGAGCAGTTTTAGGTTCACAGCAAAGTTGAGAGGAAGGTCTGAACAGAAATTTCCCTGTTCCTCCCCACCCCCACACATGCATAGCCTCTGCCAGGTAACAGCTCCACCAGGGTAATACATTTGTTACAACTGATGAACCTGCATTGACAATCATAGTCACCCAAAGTCCATGGTTTACCTTAGGGTTCACTCTTGGTGTTGTACATTCTGTGGGTTTGGACAAATTGTATAATGACATGTATGCACCACTATAGTATTATACAGAGTATTTTCACTTGCCTAAAAATCCTCTGTGCTCCATCTATTCATCCTTCTCCGATGACCCCAACCTCTAGCAATCACAGATCTTTATTACTGTCACCATAGTTTCACCTTTTCCAGAATGCCATACAGTTGCAATCACACACTATGTAGCCTTTCCAGACTGGCTTCTTTCACATAGTAATAAACATTTAAGATTCTTCTGTGTCTTTTCATGGCTTGATAGCTCATTTCTTTTTAGCAATGAATAACATTCTGTTACCTAGATGCGCAACAGTTTATCCATTCTCCCAATGAAGGGCATCTTAGTGGCTTTTTTTTTCCAATTTTTAAAAAACTGAAGTATCATTGATGTGCAATATTATATGTTACAGCTTACAACACTCAATTCAGTTCAGTCACTCAGTCATGTCTGACTCTTTGCAACCCCATTGATTGCAGCACACCAGGCCTCCGTGTCCATCACCAACTCCCAGAGCTTACTCAAACTCTAGTCTGTTGAGTCAGTGATGCCATCCAACCATTTCATTCTCTGTCATCCCTGTCTCCTCCCGCCTTCAATCTTTCCCAGCATTAGGGTCTTTTCAAATGAGTCAGTTCTTCGCATCAGGTGGCCAAAGTATTGGAGTTTCAGCTTCAGCATCAAGTTCTTCCTGATTCACAATTTTTAAAGTTATACTCCTTATATAGTTTTAAAATGCTGGTTGTATTCCCTATGTTGTACATTATATCGTCATAGATCATTTATTTTATACATAATAGTTTGCAAATTTTAATCCCTTACTCTTATCTTACCCCTCCTGCTTCCCTTTCCCCACTGGTAACCACTGGAGTTAACTGTGAATCTCTTTCTTTTTTTTGTTATATTCACTAGTTTGTTTTTTAGATTCCACATAAGTGATATCATAAGGTATTTGTCTTTCTTTGTCTGACATTTCACTAAGCATAATACCCTCCAAGTCCATCCATGTTATTGCAAATGGCAAGATT